GCTGCTGGTGAGCGTAGGGGAGAGAAATCTCATGCTTGATTCCCTTCTCGGTAAGGACACGCTCCAGCACGTTGCTGCAAAATTCCTTGGCCCCATCACTCTGCCAAATCTTCAGTTTCCTTCCTGACTATCGCTGCGCGTGCGCGAGGAAGATGCGGAACACTTCCAGAGCTTTGGAGCGAGCGTCGACGTTGGCGACCCACACGTGGCGTGAGTAGGCGTCAATGAAGGTGAGAGTATACTTCTCGCCATTGATGCCGTCGGAGGTGAGCACTATGAAGTCGACGTATACCTTTTCCAGCTTCTTGTAGCGGTTGGTGCTCGGCTCCAAAGAGGGATAGGCGCTGTGAGAGAGCGCAGCTGTGGGGCAGACAGTGCAAGTGTCGGGTGTGGGGTGTTGTGCGGTTCTGTTCCGTTGGGGCGCAGCAGTGCTCCTGGCGGGAAAACCTTAGCGCGGAGGCAGTTATCGAGGGTCTGGCACGAGGGGTGGCCCAACCGCTGATGCCAGAGGTCATCTTCGACGCGAATGCCGGAGGTGCGCTTGTAACGGGCGTAGTGTTCCGATACTTCTTCGTCCGTAAGTTGCGGGATCTGGAGTGGGGGTTCTTCCTCTTCTCCTGGTTCTGCTTCATTGTCCAGCTCCTCTCCTTCTGCTTCTGCCGTTGTCTCCCCTTCTGCAGGTGCCGTTGTGAGGTAGAGCGCAAGAAATTCACAGTCGGGGATGATGGTGAGCGGGGTCGTGGTGCCTTCAATGAAACGAGCGAACGGATCTGGGCGGGAGATTGGACCAAATGAGTCCCGTGGAGGAGTTGGTGGTATGTTCCCCTCCCCAATCTCCGACCAAGGATCACTCCAGCGATGAGGTGAACGAGGGGGTTCACGAGTGCGGGGGGGTCGTCCGAGGGGAATGACAACGCGGGGTGATTCTTCTCCGCGCTCAGCTTTTATCTCTCGTTCAGCTTCCTCTAGTTCTTCTTTCGTGAGCTCCCCTTCGTAGGACTCTGCTGTTCCCCATCCTCCCGTGGTGACCGTGCCACTGGCGCTGGCTCCCCATGCTCCAGTGGCGGATGCCCAGGTTGCGCCTTCTTCTGGTTTATAATCTTCATCTCCCCATGCTCCTCGTCGTGCTAACTCTTCGTCCCATCCCTCCGCGACACGCTCCTCATACAGCTTTTGTTTCTTTTCTGCCCGGGCCTTGTCTTGTTCTTCCTTGACGCTCAGCTCCCCTTCTACGTCATGGTCCTTCCAAGTCGGATCAATTTCGCGGCGGTAGACTTCGCGAGTGTAGGGGCGCGGTCGTCCTTCTTCGTCGAGGGTGGCGGTGTTAGCTTCTAGGACGAACCGGAGGTTTTCTGAGTATGTTCGCTCCTCTCGCTGACGTCCGGGGTCATTGGTCGGCTCGCCAAAGATACGGTAAGATAACACAGCGAGTTCTTGTTCAGCCATGCCTGTGGGTTCCGCCTCGGCACTCTCTGCTTCCTGAATTGCCGTGTACTCCTTTTTGACTTGCTCTGTGCGGCTGGCCGTGGGTATGTGACAGGTGGTGCAGAGGCCATTGACGTCTGGCTCGTGCATGTTGATCTCGCGGGGATGAGGGCTGCGGCGAACCCATGGTCGTCCGTCGGGGTGCTCCCATGCTTCCTTGCTCATGTAGGCGAACTCGAGAGGGACGAAGTCCACGAGCTCGTCGGATGATGCTTGGCAGGAAGGTACGTCGAAGTCTAGGACGTAGATCCCGTTGATTGAGCGGGCTCGTCCGAGGTATTTGAACGATTCGGGAGGTGTGTCAGGGGGAGCGTAGGTGAGGATGAGGTCGCGAGTGGCCAGATCCGTGGTGAGAATGATGCCGTAGTCACGAAGTTGCCCTGCCGAGAGAAGGTTAAAGCGAAGGTTTGGGACGTAAAGTACGTCTTTGAGCGAGATGTGTGTGTTGCTATCTCGTGCTTGCATGACCACGATGCCTTGCGCATTGGCACGCAGTTGCTCGTTGTTGGCGACGGTGACGTAGGTTGCGGGGGCGCGACTTAGGTTCGATACGTATCGCGCGGATCCCACCATGTGCTGTCCGCAGCAGCTGTCCAGGTACCAGGTGTTGTAATTGTCGGTGTTGTTTCTGCGCAGAAGTAGCGCTAGTCGCGGAGTCACCAGGGTTGCCTTGTAGCGCTTGTGGAAGGAGGGGTCTTCGTATTCCTTCCATCCCACCGGTACTTAGTGTTGGTTGTCATGTGGCGGGCTTTCCCGCAATGTGATTGGCTGATTCCAATCCTGCTCGTCCTCGTCATACAGATAGTAGTGATCTTCAGTGAGGGGATTATTCCAGCCCTCTTCTGGCTCAAGGAGTCTTCCTTGGATCTCGTTCTCTTCGTCAGTTTCAGCAGTGCGACGTCGGCGCGTCGCCATATTTGCGATGATGTTTCTAGGAGCTCCTGATTGAGGTCCTTGAGTTTGCTGATGTTGATGTTGTGCAGGAGGACGAGGTGTCTGATGCTGAGACTGGGGATGACGAGTGTCTTGTCGGTCGACCCAGTTGTTGTGGTGAGTGGAATTAGGGTGGCGATAGTTGGATCCGGATTTGCATCGATCCGTTGAATGTCCGAAGACTTTGCATATTTTGCAATAATGGCGCCTCGGTTGTCGTCGCTCTTCACGGTTGTCTGCGTAGAAGGCGAGGCTCTCTCGGCGTGGCGCGGAGCTTGTTCTGCTCGAGTCCATGTCCTGCTGTTCAGTCAGGAGTGCGGCGCATAGCGCGGCTTCTGAGATAATCCCTCGCTGTCTGAGTAGCGCTTTACAGGGCTTCCACTCTGGCCCGAGTCCTTGAAGGACTATATTGACGAAGATCTCTTCCGAGATTGCGCTCCCATGCTTCGTGATCTGGTCACGGATGTTGCGACAGCGGTTAATGTAGGAATTCGCTTTCTCCCCGTGCCCCATCTTTGTCTCCATAAGCTGCTGTAGGAGCTTGCTGGCGGTGACCGAGTCCTTTGGCTGATAAACCTCAACGAGGTGTTTCCAGGCTTCCAAGGCTGGAGCGGCGCTCTCTTTGTAGGAGCGAATGCTAAGTTGTTCCGCAGGCGTCATATTTCGCAGCAGCACACTGTACGCCATGAGGGACTCGCTGTAGTACTGAGCCCTGGCGTCGTCGGTGTCTTCCACCGGTTTAGAATATTTTAGAATAGGAGCCGTCGAAGTAGTGGTAGATCTGCGCTGTCTGTAGGAGGAGCTCAAGCTCGAAACTCCATGTGTAGAAATCTTTGCCGTCAAACGCGGCGGTAGTCTTGATTTTTGAGACGCTGAGAAAGCGTGCTTGCGCAGAGTTAATGACTTCATCACTTGGACGGGGGGCAGTTGTTGTTGATTTGTCTGTGTCGAGTGAGAAGGTGTGCGCGGCGGTATCACGGCTTTTCGTAGCCGGTTGTCCAGGTTGAACTGGTTGGGAAGAGGTTCCCGCATCGCCTTTGCGCAAATCTTGGAGTTCTTTCTCCATAGTTGAAAATCGAGCGAATAACTGCTCGAGTGCGGCAGTGCCGATCGTGGTTGTCGCCTCATTTGTCGCAGCCGGGTTGGTTTGTCCTTCAGCCGTCAGATTTGCTTGGCCTTCGGATCCTCCGGCCATCTTGTTCTTGGAGAGTGTGCCGCTCGCCAGATCTAGGTTCGGCGAATTTCACGGAAGTGAAGATGCGAAGAATCCCTGAGTAGCTCTCATACCATGTTACAATCCCAAGTGGGACTTAGCGAAGGATCGCTCAGGGTTGATCGCAGAGTAGTTGTTTGCAGCGGAAGTTTGAATCTCAGGTCAGAGTGAATGTAAATGACTGGGTTGATACGAGCATGCATACATCGGGTATATATAAGAATACAGGGGGATACGAAAAGACCTAGACTAGCCATGTACTCAAAGGGTTACATTCCCTTATTGCAGCGAAATTCAAACCGTGCGGCCCTGGAACCCGTTTCAAACATGTTCCCGCTCTTTTCACTTCAAATGTTTCTGCCTGCATCGGTCTTGGTCAGACGGTTGCTGCGTCGCTTCGATTCTTCTGACTCCTCGACTTCGTACTCGGTAGAGTCGGCTCCTGCAGCATACAGGAATGCCTTCTCATGTAATTTCATATCGTAACACCTGTAAAACAGTTAGTACATGGCTAGTTTGATCCTAACGCATTCCTATCCTATCCAAGATCCTTACTCTAACAAAATGCATTGAAAAACTCTTTTGAATGATACCCCCAAACTATGAATCCAATATAGGTTGATACACAGCCCAATAAAAATTGAACTACATTATGGGTGATTTTGAAGGACTTTTAGGGTGATTATATCTAGAACAAGCTATCAAATGCTTTCACGTTTAGAGAGGAAGTACATCCTTTTTTGCGTTACGAGCTGTGGTGATTTTCTGTGGCTCGATATTCAAAGTGCACCAGAAATCCCTTGGCCACATTCTCGCCCTGCTCCAATCCGCGGGATGATCTTGTGGCGGGCTTTGAGATTGGAGTATGCTGACGTGGCACTGGAGCCACCAGTGCTGACATGGCCCACAACAGCAACCACAAGCCAACCAGCACAGACCACCAGTTCAAACCATACAGAACCGAGCCAAAATGTTACAAACCGTGGTACTATTGCATAAGTCTGGGTAGGACTTCCCTGGAGATGAGTGGTTCTGTTTCCTCCTCAGCTCACCGTGACCAGAAAATTCTTGCCAGCCACACACATCCTGGTATCATCTAAGAACGTCCAACGGTTCCATCGTTCTTAGTAATCAAGGTAACGCCCCTCGTGCCATTCGTTTGCTGTCAGTGCGACGTGTGGTGCCGTCATATCCGTCGCTGCCGCATTTCGCCCGTACTCCTCACGTCGCACACCCGTTAGTCCGATCGCTCATCTGATTTTCTCTCTCCTAATCCCACAGGGACGCAGTGTCCGACGCGCTCGAGCGGCCTTATCCTCCACCTGACAGCTTACATAGCGATCTAAAAGGCGACTCGAGAGGCGTTGCCATGGCCGCCATTGCTTCCAATGCCGCCGTCGCGGCCACGTCAGCATGCACCACCGCAGCGCGCGCTGACACTCGGCAGGCCGCCTCCGCGCCGGCCGCTGCCGCTGCTTTCAGACACACATCGACGTGGAAGCAGGGGGGTGCGATGCAGCAGCTGCGAAGCAAATGCCACGTGGCGCCAGCGACGAGGCGAGCGACGTTCAGAGTGTTCGCCGCAGAAGGGAACCCCGCCGGTGAGTGCGTGTGGGTGAATGCGTGAATGAGTGAGCGAGTAGTTGAGCGAGTGAGAATGGGACTGTTCCTGTTCTGATTCGACTGCCTTGCGCGGCCTGTGGGTGAGGGCGTGCGGAGGAAATATTTGCAGCATTTTACCTTATTAATCAGGTATTTCTTCGAAAGTTCTTTCTGTGCTCTTTCCCTTGCAGTTTATACAAAGATGTGACAAAAAGCTAGTTCGGTCACCTAGCATTGTTCCCGTATTCCTCTGCTCCTAGTCACCGCAGCCATGACCAGCCCCCTCCCCATCTCCCTCCGCTCCCTCCGAATGTCCCATTTTCTTCGCGCGACGCGATGGTCACATGCAAGGACCTGGTAGCTTCCCATTCCCCTCCGCTCGCCTTTCGCCTTCCCCTACCCACCCGCCCCAGCAACCCCATTCCCCGTGCGCAGCGGTGGCGACTTCTTAGACGTCTGGAAAATGCAGCGGTGGGGCGGCGTATTTTTATGTCGAGCAGGCTCACTCACGCAGCATCTCGGTTTCCTTTCGCCATGCATTTCCCTCCTCTTATCTCCAACCTCTCTTCCTCTTCCTCCCCCAATCTCTCCTTCCGCAGCGGCGTCGGCGGGCGTGACGTTTTCGTGCAGCGGAATGCGGGCGGGGTTGCCTCCTTCTCCCCCGCTCCTTACCACGGCCTCCCTTTTCACCCCTGCCCACCCTCCCCAACTTCCCTTCCCATTCTTCCCCGTCCCACACCTTCCCACCCCCCCCTCCCTCCCCCCCCCCCGCCCCACTTGCCCTTCCTCCCCCCCTCTCTCCTTCCCCCCGCTCCCCTTCCTCTACCCCTCCCCCAGCAGTGTCGGAGGACGTGTCGTTCTCGTGGAGCGGGCCGGGCTCGGAGGTGCTTCTAACGGGCGACTTTCTCAACTGGGAGGTCAAGATTCCGCTCGTTAAGCTGCCCAACGGCACCTTCTCCGCGCGCCAGGTAACGTCGCCCTCTCCACGCGTTTCCCCCTCCGAGCGTTTCCCTCTGGGGAGGGCGGGCCCTTTGTGAGGCTCGTCGAAGCAGGTGTGCGCTGAAAGACATAGGGCGCTCCTTGCTTGCCGACTTCCTCAACAGGGAGGTCAAGATCCCGCTCTGCCCAACGGCACCTTCTCCGCGCGCCAGGTAATCACTCCCTCCCCTTCCCGCGCGCCAGGTACCGTTTGCCGTTCCGCGCGCCAGGTAGCGCAACTTCCTCCGCGCGTTTCGTTCTCTGCGCTCCAGGGAATGCGTTCCCCTCCCGCGCCTCGTTGCCTCTACTCTGCGCGCCTCCCGCTCCGCGCGACAACTAACATCGCCACCCCCCGCGCGCGCGCTTCGTTCTCCGCGCCACGGTCTGTAGTGTGATGGGCGTTTCAAAACAGATGCGCTGCGCGCCGAGAAGGAGGCTCTCCGCATTCCGCTTATGCCTGGCTGCTCCGGCCCTCCCTGCTGCGCTGCTCCGCTGCTCTGCTGCACCTGCACCCCGCACTGCGCACCCCTGCATCCATCCGATGACTTCCGTCTCGATGTACCCATTCGAGTGCGTGCGGAGGCGGATCCCGTGTTGACGTTTGAGTCGACTCGAAAGTCTCCTCGTGCGGAGGCGGTTCCTGTGTCACTTATGGGAAGTCTCAAGTTTCAACTCATTAGCAGAATGTAGGCATTTCGAGTGCGGAGAAGGAGGCGCATCCCGTGCATGCTGCATGCGACGCGGCGAGACGCGGCGCTTGAGATTCGGCCGGCGGTCTGTGCATGCTCCGCATCACGTTCTAACCAGGCTGTGCGCGCTTCGCATCAAGTTAGGCTTCCGATGAGCTTCAGTCTAGTCTATAACGCTAGGTGACGCGAGTGCGAAATCGGACGAGCAACAGCACGGGATTGTGATGGGAGGGACGGATGGAGAGAGGGAGGGAGTTGGAGCCGTCAAATGGATTTGTATGAGTCGCTTCACACCAATCATATACGCGTTGGGATTGGAATAGGTTTGGGATGGAATGAAAGGAGCAAAAATTTGATGAGACCTGCTTTTTGCGTGCCCATGCTGTTGCCTTGCCTTGCGTTGCCATGTCAGTGAGCGGCGTGTGCCATGTCGTGACGCCAATCGCCTGCTTGCTCTCACCTGCCACCCAATCCCCCCCCCTTTTTCCTCCCTCCCGTCCAACCAATGCCGCATCACCAATCTCTCGCTTCATCTGCCACTTCCCTCCTCTCTCTCCCTCTTTGTCCCATCTCTCTGCGCATCCCCCGTTCCCCCCCTCCCCACTTCCTCTCCTCCCCCCGCCAATGCCCCTTGACCACAAAACAACAGAAGCTGCCGCCCGGGCGGTACGCATACAAGTTCATAGTGGACGGCGTGTGGCAGCACTCGCCCGCTGATGCCACCATCTCCGACGGCGCTGGCGGCTTTAACAACACACTCGTGATTGAAGGTGAGCTGTGCTTCCCAGTGTACTTGCTGCTGCAATACCATGTGCCACCATAGTGGATGGCGTGCGGCAGCTCCCAGCACTCGCCTGCCGATGCCACCATCTCCGACGGCGCTGGCGGCTTTAACAGCACTCTTGTGATTGAAGGTGTGCTGTGTGTTGCATATAGACAGTAATGGTAAGAACATATCGCCACATTCCACAAGAAGCGAAGGAGAAACACACCATCAACTTGACGGCGCCACCACTGGCTGTGCCGCACTCGTTTCACCAGCTCCCTCGCTTGCCACCAAGGTCGGTGCATTGCAGGTGCGATGGAAGGTCGCTACATTCACTGCTGCCCCTCCTCCCCCTCTTTCCCATCGCATCCCCTGCAGATCCCAACAAGACTCAAGGCCGAGCGTGCACCAGAAGCAGCCCCCCCCCGCCCCTGTTGCAGGGAAGAAAGTAGTGAGACAAGCCCTCAACTTTCCCTTCCCCCCCCACGTACTCTGTTTCCCCCCTACTCTCTCCCTGCAGATCCCAACAAGAACAAGGCCGAGCCTGCACCAGAGGCAGCCCCCGCTGCCCCTGCTGCCGCTGCCCCGGCTGCTGCTGCCCCGGCGCCCAAGGCAGAGGGGGCACCAGCGGGGAAGAAGGTTGTTGGGAAGGCAGTGGGGAAGGCGGTGGGCAAGAAGGTGGTGGCGAAGGCCATCGGGCTGGCGATGAGTGAGGACGTGATCCCGGCGCTGCTGGCTGGGCTGGGCAAGGAGGAGGGCGTGCGGAACGTGGAGATCAACTTCACCGACAATGTGGTGCGTGCTGAGGAGGAGAGGGTTGGGGGGAAAGGAGGGGAAGGGGACGGAGGGGTGGGGGGAGAGGGGGAGGGGAAGGGGACGGAGGGGTGGGGGGAGAGGGGGAGGGGAAGGGAGAGAGTCAGAAGTGGAGGGAAAGCCAGATTGGGGAAGGGGAGGGGAGGAGGAAGGGCTAGCATGAGGGAAGGGATGGATGGGTGGAGTGGAGTGGATGGTTGTCATTGATTATACAACTGTGCCTTTTTTTGTCACATTTATGGTCTCAGCTCCGGTGAATCACTTCAGCTCTGCATGCACCACATCAATCCAACATTTCTCACTCTCCCTTCTCTCATTCCTCCCCTGCCCTTCACATCTCCCCCTCGCCGCCATGGCAGCTGTGTGGAAGCTTCATCAAGAATGACATCCCCATCAACTTCTGGGCCTACTTCCCTGACGGCGCTCTTGATGGTAACCACCCCACCCACCGCCACACTGTATTCAAGGCATAGATGCACAACTCCAAGTACCCCGCACACATATTCCCTTGTCATGATCGGCATCTTTACTTCGGGACCTGCTTACTGTTATATCTTGTCTTTCTCTTTTGCACACAGCCTCACTCTCATTGCTTCCATGATCCATCAGGCTCTCCTCACATTGTACAGCAGACCCCCCAGTGCAGGGCAGTAGGCAGGAGCTCACAGCGACCCAGGAGCTTGAAGTATTCTCCTCTTAATTACACCTCAATCTCACCCCCTTCATCGTGCACTCCTCACTTACAATCACTGTTCTTCCATCAGGCTCGCGTGGCTTCTCCCTCACGTCGTACGGCAACCCCCCCAGCACAGTGGAGCCCTTCATTATTGACGAGCGCAAAGTCACCCCCGAGCTGCTCGTCTTCTGGATCACCAAGCGCCTCTTCGCCCAGAAGCTGCTTGCACTTAACTAGACAATCAACGCGCCGACGCTCTAGATTTTCATTATTTTTTGTCTGTTACGTAAGAGTAACAAGGAATGTCTTGTCTAAATCCAGTGGGTATCATTTCTACCCTTGTAGATCAAATTAATAACTGTTATATGAAACCTCGCAATATCCATGCGCATTGAATAGCGCCGTTGTCTCACAACGAAGCACTTACAGAACCGAAGCGCACACAAGCGTGTTAAAGCTCAAGGCCCAAATTGCGGGCCGCGCGAGGCAAGTCTAGTAAGGTTGATCGAGTGCTGCTTTGCAGCTTTAGCTGGGCGAATTGTGGTTACGAAATGTACGAAGCCATCTGATTGGCCAGAACATTTGAGTCAGCGAATGGAACAGGTGGTGCGGGAAACTGGCAAGAGTAATATTTGTGCAATATGGGACTCGCGCAACCAAACCTGAGCGTCCCCTAGGCTTTGCTGAGTCAGCGAATTTTGTTTTGAGTGTGGCGAGAAGCTGGGCGAAACCAAACCCCTACACCCCTCAAACACCTCGACTTTCCTACTCTGCTTTCCCACCACCCAAGGGTCAACTTTAGTAATCCTGAACAATTTGGGCCTTGAGCTTTAAGAACCTAAGGCAATGATGATGAATTAGGTGAAGGCTAGGGTACAAGACTAGGGTGTCGAGGAACTTTGTGTACCCCCTAGTGCTAACCCCCATACAGCCTAGCTAACCTAAACAAGTATATATATATAATTTGACACACCCCCATAGGCGAAATGGGGGATAGCCAGGGCAAGCAACGGTCACAAGACCAGTCAAGAGAAGAAACAAAACACAGCTCAGGGTGGATCACAATGTCACCACGCAGTCTGAGCACAAGCAAAGGCCACAAGGCCAGTTCACATGCAGAGATATATATGTAACAACAACAGCACAATGATCTCTACATACTAGAGCAAGCATGCAGGTATATATATAGATCAATGTACAAACAAAGCCTACAGCAAGTGAAGAAAAGTGGGCACAAGCCCCAGCATAGTGCAAAAGCGCTGATGATAACCAGGCTGAAGTGCCTTGGTGAATATATCAGCGGTGTTGGCTTGAGTGGCCACGTAACGCAGACGAAGCTGACCGCGCTCCTGCAGCTCTCGAGCCAGGAAGTAACGGAGAGCGATTTGCTTCGTTCTGTGCTCCAGTCTGTGCTCCTCACACAAGGCAATGGCAGCCTTGTTGTCGACGTACAGCACTGGAGGAGAACTAGGCCGCTCTCCCAGGTCAGTCAGCAGGTAGGTCAGCCAGCGTAGCTCCTGTGCATCCATGGCTGTAGCGTAGATCTCAGCCTCACAACTGGAGCTGAGAACTGAAGACGAGCGAGTAGAACGCCAAGAAACTGAACCAGAGCCAAGGCTGAAGGTGTAACCCTGTGACGACCGCTGAGTAGCCTGGTCGTCAACCCAAGAAGCGTCTGAGTGCCCAGTGAGAACAACTGAGCGCCTCCCTCCAAGCACGAGCCTCATGCCTGACGTACTGCACAAGTAGCGCAGTACCCTCTTAGCAGCATCCATGTGCACCTTTCGGTGCCGACCAGGAGCCACGTAACGAGCCAGAAGGCCAAGAGGGTACGCGAGGTCAGGACGAGTGCAAGTCATCAGGTACATGAGGCAACCGACTAGCTCTGGGTAAGGACCACTCGGCTCTACGGACTCGTCCGAAGGTGGAGCTGAGAGCGAGTGACCTGTAGCCAGAGGAGTGGCCTGTGCCGAGGACCAGGTGAAGCCGAAGCGCTGAAGGACCTGCTGCACCATGTGTGACTGAGTCAGTGTGATGGTGCGGCGTGCTCTGTCCCGGGTGATCCGCAAGCCAAGATAGCTTGTCAGCTCACCCAGGTCTGTGCACGTGTGTCTCTTCTGCAGCTCCGACTTCACGTGGGCGAGAGCCCCAGTGTCAGCAGTGGCAAAGACCAAGTCGTCGACGTACACGAGGATGTAGAACGGCGGCAGCGAAGTGTCGGTGCGCAGAAACAGCGACGGGTCAGCAGTCGACGGAGCAAACCCAAGAGCCGCAAGTGTCGTCCTCAGTGTGTCGTGCCACTCACGTGGCGCCTGGCGGAGACCGTAGACCGGCCGCCTGAGGCTCCACTGGGTACCAGGAGGGAACGACCCAGTGAAGCCAGGTAGGCGGCGCAGCCAGATCTCCTCGTGCAGGCTGCCCTGTAAAAAGGCTGTGCTGAAGTCAAGAGAGTGAAGCTCGTAGTCACGCTGAGCGGCAACGTGCAGCAGCACCCGAAGAGTGGTCATCTTCGGGGTGGGGGAGAAGGTCTGGAAGAAGTCTACTCCCTCTCGCTGACTGAAACCTCGTGCAACGTAACGCGCCTTGAAGACAGGCGGAGAACCTGGCGGCCGCTTCACCCTGAAAATCCACATGCCACTGACGATGTTCGCCCCACGAGGGGGAACCTCGTCGACGTAGGTGCCTGTGGACTTCCAGGATGCCATCTCTGCGTCCATGGCTGTCTGCCACGGAGAGGAGTAGGGACCCTCGATCGCCTCAGCGTACGATCGTGGAGTCGGGATGTCTGGTGCATCCGGGTCTCCCTCAGGGGCAAGCAGCATGGACACGAGATGAGGCGCAGCGGCTGCAAGACACTCAAGGGCCTCCTGCCTGTCCTCAAGGACGTCCGTGCCAAGAGCACACTCACCCCCGACGGACGGAGGACAGACAGACTCAGACTCAGCAACAAGACGAGCGGCGTAGTCTAGACGACAGTGAGCAGCAAAGTCGACAAGCTCAGCGACCAAGGCAGACGCACCAGCAGACTCAAACGACGGGTCGGCGACAACAGTGGCTAGCAGACGCGTGACAGTAGGGTGCTCAGCACGAAACCGGTCAGACTCAGGGTCAGCAACTACAGGTAGAGAGGACGCAGGCGGAGACGGCAGGGGAACACGTGGCGGCGGAGAGGAAGGACGACGGACGACAAGGGAAGGGCCGGGGACAGCCGGCTGACGCTGACGAGGAACCCGACGACCGGAACGACCGCAAAGGACAGGTGAGACAGGACGCGACGCAGGCTCACGACGCTCAGCAAGGCCCCCGGTCTGCTCAGCGTAAGGAGAAGGAGCAGGCAGAGGTGAGCCAGGCTGTAACGGAAGACCAGTAGACGACGGGAGGCTAAGAACCTGGCGAAGCACGGAGCTAGGCGGGGGCAGAGACGACGGAGACGGCGGAGCAAAGAACAGGCGCGGCTGTGCAGTGCCTCCAGCACCAGCAGCTCCAGCACCCTCAGCAACGCCAGCACCTCCAGCAGCTCCAGCACCACCAGCACCCCCAGCAGCTCCAGCACCTCCAGCAGCTCCTGTACCCTCAGCAGCCCCAGCACCTCCAGCAGCTCTAGAACCCTCAGCACCAGCCCAACCTGGTGCAGCACCCCCAGAACCGGCACCTCCAGTCCCAGGGTCTCCAACCGCTGTGCCACCTGCAGCAGCACCCTCAGACACACCACCGTCAGCCCCAGCAGCTCCAGCACTCCCAGTACGAGCACCTCCGAGACCAGCGACACTAACACCACCAGCAGGCAAAGGACCAGCACCACTCTCAGCTCCAGTGACGCCAGCAGAAGAACCCCCAGCAGTAGAACCCTGAGGTGCAGAAGCGCGACGCTGACGGCGACCGTACCAGTCGTGCAGCTGCTGGGAGGTGAGAGGCACACGCGGACGAAGACGGCTACTCCAAGGAGACCGCGGAACAGCAGTCTCAGAACCCTCAGGCGACTCACCCCCAGACTCAGCACCCCCAGGCTCCGCACACGCAGGCTCAGCACCCCCAGACTCAGCACCCCCAGACGCAGGACCTCCAGGCTCCTCACGCGCAGGCTCAGCACCCCCAGGCTCCGTACCCTCAGGCCCCTCACGCCCAGCGCCCCCAGACTCAGCACCCCCACGCTGCAAACCCCCAAGCTCCACACCCCCAGGGACAGCACCACCACCAGCAGGACCGGAGTCACCAGTGACCTCAACAGGCGCAGGGACGGGAGGGTCTACCTGAGAAACACCTGAAGGAGCAGGACCTGGCGCGGGGAGGGGGTCTACCTGGGGAGGACCTGGGGCAAGAAAGAGCGGCGGGAGAGGGCGAGGAGCAGTGCGGTAGGGGAAGAGGCGGTAAAAGGGGACTGACTCGTCAAAGGTGACGTCATGGGACGCAAAGACATGGCGCGAGGCGGGGTCGTAGAACTGCCAGCCAGGCGCGTCAGGGACGAAGCCAAGGAAGACGCAAGGAACGGCACGAGGGGAGAGCTTGTCCGCGGTGGTATCGCGAACAAAGGCACGAGCACCCCAGACCCGGAAACGCGACGCGTCGCCAACCTTCCCCGTCCACAGCAGTGTGGGCGAGGTCTCCGGCAAGGAGACACGGGGCCAAAGGTTGAGCTGATGCGCGGCGTACCGGACCGCAAACGGCCACAGAAAATGGGGGGCAGCCGCATGGATCATGGAGGTACGAGCGACCTCCATGACTAAGCCAATGCGGCGCTCAGCAACCCCATTCTGCTGCGGAGAGGCCGGAAGCGTGAAAGTCTGGCGGATGCCGTGCTCCGCACAGAAGGCGGCCAAGAGGTCTGAGGAGAACTCACCACCTCTGTCAGAGTGCAGACGCAGGACAGGAAAGTCCGACTGGAACCGCTCGCGGAGCTGGAGACGAGTAGCGCGGATCCAGGGGATCAAAACATCAGGGACATCTCCCTTGCGCTGCAAGGGGAAGACCGTGGTGTAGCGCGTGTAGTCGTCGACAACCAGCAGGAAGTACCGCTCGTGGCCCTGTCCACGGACGCGGGCTGGGCCCCACACGTCCAGGTGGAGAGTCTGCAGTAGAGCCTCTGTGGGAGGGAACGAGGAGGAGTGAGGAGCGGCGCGCTGCCGCCCCTCGACGCAAGGAATGTAGGGCGGCGCAGGCGAGGGAGGGAGGGCAGGCAGAGACCTGGGAAGACCAGAGACCAGAAAGCGAGAGTGCATGCTACGAAGGCGATGCAGGGA